TTATTTTGTTCGCGCAACGAACCAAAATTTGCTGATCATCCTCATGAACCCTTTGATGACGTGACCTAAAAATTTTGCGTCACAAATGCGATTTAAATTATATAAAGTAAGAAAGATATTTTTGTACTTGTGCTTGTTGTAAACATTTAATTACTTGACAGTTTTGTTTCGGAGGACGACTCGATCACATTTTTTATTGCATATGTTTCATATTTTTATTTTAGTTTTATTTCGGATAATTTAATCTTAATCTGTTTTTTTTTAAAGGGTACATTTAAAAATTTTTGTGACGTGTAAAACCCTTATTTATTTTTAATTAGATGAATCTTTATATATTTGCCGCCCAAAAAAATGTGATCGGAGTATCCTATGGAAATTTTTTTCATATATTTTTATCACGTAATTCGTAGTTAATAAAACAAATTTGGGCAACGAATCGAACAGTCGATTTCACAGTTGTCCAGCTTCAAAATTTTCATTGATGACGTCATACAAGCGATATATAACCTGAATAAATTGTTTTTTACGCCTCCCTGGCAGCACACTTTACGACAAAACTTTAGATCGCCCGTTGCAACAATAAAACCTCCCCAATAAAATGCGAAAAATCGAAAATCGTCTGCAACCCCATTAGTATTCGCAGGCGTAAGCCTAGAAAAATCCACAAGAGCATCGCCCTCGTAAAAAACTCCATCCTTTACATCAGCCGTCACCACAATAAACAATACTCATCCAAACACGTACAAACCCTTTCATCCATTAAACAATCCCACTTTCTGATTATTTTCCCAACGAAAAACCCGGAAACGAGATTGCACCCAGTTTTAGCGGGAGTCGAAATTTGTTGTTGGCGATGAGCTGACAAGGCTGTTTTATCAGCAGTAACAGCAAAGGGGATGGTGGCACCACGCCGGATAAACAAGATAACAGAGTGCTAAGTGCCACAGCTATTGTTCTGGTGTTTTTCTCCACCGAATTCAATTACGCGAATTTGAGGAACTCGCACATTGATCGAGTCAAGGCGTGACATTGCGGGGGTGGGGACTTAATTGTTTGTTAAAACTTCGAGTGGAAAAGTAGAGGATCTAAAGACGGAAGAGTAGGTGATAAATCGTTGAAAAAAAAATTGGTCTAAAGAGTTTAGACAGTACTTCCCTCGCTGTCGGAAACTTGACGACTGCATGCCTATTGTGTTTTTTTTCTCATTACATTTTTGTAGTGGGAATTTAAAAAAAAATTGCGATGACGTCATCAACATTTTTGCAAGGACACGTATATCAGTTGGGATAGATGTAGTGTAATACTAAGAATAAAATTATTATATTCTCAAATTTTCGGGAAAATGAATTGGGTCGTTTGGAATATTGATTTGTAATAATCAATAAAATAACGAAACAATTTACTCACGTATACGTATCAGAGGCAACTGAAAATCGTGTATGTATAAACATTCTTAATTTAAGATGACAGGCGTAACAGCATACGTGAGAGTCAAACAGAGAAACTGTAAACAAAACGACCATCGGTTTTATTGCTTCGACTTCCGCTTATTATATAAAACATTGGGTTTTATTTTAATTCTTGACGGTGAAATTCACAATTGGTTGATTATAAACATGTCTATTTCACATTCGCGGAACCAAGTGAGCGCATAAAACAAATGCAGGTCTGTAATGTTAAAGTCGATGTAAATAAGCGTGCTACCCTTATGTTTCAACCGAGTTTTTCCTTTAACAAATTTTGTGTCTACCAAATTGGGTTGGTTGGGGTGTAATACTAATAATAAGTGTTGCCTTTAATTTAATCAATAAAATAAATTGACTTCATTAATTTTTTTGAACCACCTCTTAAGAAAATCTAAAAAATATGAATGGAATGATAAATCACAAGTACAAACCATCATATTTTTTGCATTTTAGATAGGATTTATTCAGCAAAATTTAAGGGTGACGTCATCAATTTTTTTAGGAGGGATGAACAAATACATTTTGAACAAAAGTTTACCATGCTTATAATAACTTTAAAATATTCCCAAGATTTCAAAGCATTCGGTTTTGTAATTCCTGATTAAATCGATAAAATAAATTCACGCCTTCATTAATTTTTTTGAGTCACCCTGCATATGCAAATCCAAAAATATGAATGGAATGATAAATCACAAGTACAGACTCATCATATTTTGTACATTTTAGATACGATTTATTCGGCAAACTTTTGAGCTGACGTCATCAGTTTTTTGTAGAAGATAACCAAATATATTTTGACTAAAAATTTATTATGCTCTTTATAACCTTAAAACATCTGCAAGATTTCAAAGCATTCGGTTTTGTAGTTCCTGATTAAATCAATAAAATAAATTTACGCATTCATTAATTTTTTTGAGTCACCCTGTATATGCAAATCGAAAAAATTTGAATGGAATGATAAATCACAAGAAGAGACTCACCATATTTTGTACATTTTAGATAGGATTTATTCAGCAAAATTTTGTGGTGACGTCATAAATTTTTTAGGGGGGACGACCAAATACGTTTTGATCAAAAATTTACCATGCTTATGATAATTTTAAAATATCTTCAAGATTTCGAAGCATTCGGTTTTGTAGTTCCTGAGTAAATCAGTAAAATAAATTTACGCTTTGATTTATTTTCTTGAATCACCCTGTATATGCAAATCCGAAAAATATGAATGGAGTGATAGATCACAAGTACAGACTGATCATATTTTGTACATTTTAGATATGATTTATTCGGCAAATTTTCGAGCTGACGTCATCAAGTTTTTGGAGGGGATAAGCAAATATATTTTGACTAAACATTTATTATGCTCTTTATAACCTTAAAACATCTGCAAGATTTCAGAGCATTCGGTTTTGTAGTTCCTGATTAAATCAATAAAATATATTTACGCATTCATTAATTTTTTTGAGTCACCCTGTATATGCAAATCGAAAAAATTTGAATGGAATGATAAATCACAAGAAGAGACTCACCATATTTTGTACATTTTAGATAGGATTTATTCAGCAAAATTTTGTGGTGACGTCATAAATTTTTTAGGGGGGACGACCAAATACGTTTTGATCAAAAATTTACCATGCTTATGATAATTTTAAAATATCTTCAAGATTTCGAAGCATTCGGTTTTGTAGTTCCTGAGTAAATCAGTAAAATAAATTTACGCTTTGATTTATTTTCTTGAATCACCCTGTATATGCAAATCCGAAAAATATGAATGGAGTGATAGATCACAAGTACAGACTGATCATATTTTGTACATTTTAGATATGATTTATTCGGCAAATTTTCGAGCTGACGTCATCAAGTTTTTGGAGGGGATAAGCAAATATATTTTGACTAAACATTTATTATGCTCTTTATAACCTTAAAACATCTGCAAGATTTCAGAGCATTCGGTTTTGTAGTTCCTGATTAAATCAATAAAATATATTTACGCATTCATTAATTTTTTTGAGTCACCCTGTATATCCAAATCCAAAAAATATGAATGGAGTGATAAATGACAAGTACAGGCTCATCATATTTTGTACATTTTAGATATGATTTATTCCACAAACTTTTGAGCTGACGTCATCAAGTTTTTGGAGGGGATAAGCAAATATTTTTTGACTAAAGATTTATGATGCTCTTTATAGCCTTAAAACATCTGCAACATTTCAAAGCATTCTGGTTAGCAGATTAAAAATTAAATTTCAAAATGTTGTTTTATAATTTTGATTTTTTTTCCAAAAATCTGGACGTTTCGGGTGAAAAGTCGATTCAGAGTTGTAAACTACATGTGTAGGACTATGTTATTTTATACAATTGAAAACCCATTTACTATGTACAATTTTGAAGTGACGTCATCGCATTAGTGGTGGGGATGATTAGACAAATTTTGGTTAGCGTTTTACCATCTACATGATATTCTTAATATAAGTACAAAATTTCACAACAATCGGTCGAGTACTTTCGGAGATTATCTGTCTAATAAAAATCCGGGACAACAGACGGACAGACGGACGGACGGACAGACAGACGGAAATGGGAGACCTATTTCTTCGTCTTCTAGGGGTCATGAAATATCGAGAAAACGTAAAAGTAGAGAGTCGGCCGACGGACTCGATTACTTCCTTTGCTTACGCTCGGGAAGTAAAAATCATCGTTGTCATGCAGTATTGTTTGGTTGCTATGTAAAAAGTAGGCTTTTTGCTTTAACTGCACGATTACCACGCATTCAACCCCATAATTCACTTGAAATAAATAATTTAGAAAATGCGTCATGTCGTAACACGTAACTACCATTCTTACTATTTTATCGACTGAAATCGATACATAACTCGCGACACTACCAGAAAAAGCCCATTATCTCGAACTAAATCCTTCCGTGACGGTGTACCTTGCCCATTAATCACCGATAAAAATAAAATATGGCCTGCGCTACCATTGTTCGAGAAACTACTGGAAGATTTTGATTAATCGAGCATCTTATTTCATGAATTTAACCAACTAGGTTTATTGCTCCGTCTGTTGCAGAGAGTGTTTTTATTCGTCTATAAACTGAAATCGTTATCTTAAACTGACAGATGCGATTTGATTATCGAAGCGGCCACAAGATTGATAATAAGGAAACTCAAGAACACCAACAGTCTGAAAAGTGCTCTCGCTTGATAAATATTCATTTTCCAGTCAATCCAATTACATTTGTTAATTTAATTCTCTCGCTACTATCCGTTATCGAGTGATTAACGCACACCGTACACGCAGACCTTACGTAAGATAAATTATTACTAATTTTTCCTAGTTCAGGTGCTCCTAATTAATCAGATTAATTGGCTCAAGCAGACGCAAGACTTTACGTAATTGCCCGCTTTCCCACCAAGAACAATCACAGTTTTACTTCTCGTTCGCGTGTTTAGACCGACTTAGCTCTCAAAAACTCAGTCCGTTATAGCAGTTGCAGCTCTTGGTCGCCAACACACTACATGACCTCTTTTGCAGAGCGCCGCGACTTGCCCCCGGCCTCACGGTGTTGACAGAGCAGGCGTCGCGGCGGGGGCGCGTCGAGGAGCCGCCGCCTCCTCCCGCCCCCCGCGTAGCCTCCCGCTCCCGCAACGGTGTGGCCTTACAAGACACCAAGCACGGCCAGTGGAAGAGGTACACGGACTCGCCGGGAGTGGGCAGCCCGCCGCCGCCGGCGCCCGCCCCCTCCAGCCCGACGAGCGGGCGGCGGGAGCGGCGCAGCAGCCCCCATGGTAGCAAGGAGAAGAGCTCGAAGGTGCGCGGGGTGCCGCAGAGCTTCGGCTATGTGAAGAGGAGCAGCTCGACCAGCAATGGGACGCCCAACGGGACGGCGCCTCAAGGTGAGTATAGGATGGAGAGGGGGCGGCGGTGACGGCGGCTTTAGTGTTGCAGAATCAAGGGGGCAAGACGGCGGCGGTGTCGGCGGTTCCGCGGACCAAGGTGAAGGTGTCGGGGGGGACGCAGACGTGTTCCAGTGATCTGCAGCAGTCGCACAGTGAGTGGAAGCGGCGGAGGCGGCGCACTTTTGACTATTTTGTTTTAGAATCAAACACTCCACAATTCAAAAGTTACTCTCTTACTGGGAATACGGCGAGTCAGTTGAGTCAGTCCGTGAGAGAACGCTTGTTGATGGGATCACAAAGTCTTCCAAAGGGTGCCGGCCAAGATTACGGGCTAGTTTTGAGGCAGGGCAGGCCTAAGGCTAGCGATGGGTCTCTTTCCGACACCCAAGCCATCGATAATACCAGTCCTTACGCACCATGGTTGAGACACAGGTAAGTAGCGAGCGTGTGTACTAATAGAATTCTCGAACGACCTCGAGGTTCGCAAGATTTTATCAGTATACAACCTAGTATGCTTTAGTACTAATTTAGTAGTATGTTTTTTTTTGTAGTAATACCTACTCAGTTGCTCCCCGTCTATCCGAAACCGACAGCATGGAAAGCCTAACGAGTCTTCCTGGCCACAGAAGCAGCTTAACGCACACTAGACTACTGAGGGATTCCCCTTCCAGGCTTAGTAGAAGCAATAGCATAAGGTAACGTGCACTTGCGATTAACACTCGTTGACAAAATGAATAAATGTTTGTTGTTTATGGACAGCTATCTCAGAGAACGGACATTCCCAAGGTATTGAGCGGATAAGAAAACGCATTATATCAACTTACTATGCATATTGGAACTAAATATTTGTAACACTAAACTGTATTTCCATTGCGGTTATAAATATTCAGGACAATATGCTCGCTTAGCACACGTTGTTTCGTCCGCTTTCGTTGTAATCACTATTGACAATCACAACACTCATCTGCGAACTGTCAAATTCGAATAGAGTCTACCTTGAAGCTTATGTTTGTTACAGGTCTACCAAATCAGAAAAACTTTATCCTTCGATGTTACACAGAAATACGGAACCGGAAACCGAACCGTACTATTGCCTTCCCATTGGAGCTCTTAGTCATTGGTCGCAGCCCACTAGTCCGGCTCCTGGAAGCGCAAGGACTTTTCCGTTGTCTCCGACTCATTCGTCCACGCCGAGGCACAGCATACCAAAAAACGACGACGGTAAGAAAATAGTAGCCTTTTTTGTTTGTCGTAGCCACATCGAATGCTTTTTTTTTTTGGTAATTTTTTCAAACGGAGGCGCGCCGCTTAATATATATGTTAATAGTGTTTTATCTTTGATCTCTAAATTTCTGATTTTTTTCTTCTGGAATGTCTCGACGTGGGCGTACTTGCTTGTCACTTTTGACTTTTATTACCGCGTTTTTTGTAATTATTAATATGTAGATTCGGCAGTGGGTTTGTTTAACATAATTGTTGATTTAAGGGGGCATTAAGTTTAATTGAATTGTATATATTATTTTTTTCGCGTTTAAATTAAGTCATTTTGATGTAAATTTTTGACAGGTTTATTAAGTGAGACGTTTAATAATGTGGATGTTTTATCAATGTGGTCGCAGACTGCCGAGCTTTTGTGTTCTAATTAGTGAAGAAAAATGCGAAAATGATGGAAATGGGAAGCAATTTAAAATCTAGTAAATTACGTCCGTCCAAGTAAAGAATTTTTGTAATAAATTAAGCTCACAATGGATGGTGTGCGTCACATCGCTGCGTGTATTGTTGGTTGCCTATGGTATAAATGCTCTCTGATTAGTGGATAGTTCGTACAATTGTGATGTTTGTGAAGAGATAATATTTATAACTGTACAGACTAAATTACGGAGTCTCCTTTTAATGACGTCAAAGCAAATTTCTGCCTACTGGAATTCTGTACTTTTCGCACATAATCCCTTTAATACATTTTTTCTTGTTTGTTTCAGTACACGGTTCCTCCATAAGCTTGGTCTCCACGGCCTCGAGCCTCTACTCCTCCGCCGAAGAAAAACAAGCCCACGAAATCCGAAAACTCCGGCGGGAACTCACAGAGGCCCAAGAGAAAGTTCAAACTTTGACGTCTCAGCTCAGCACCAATGTGAGTATCACGTCGCCACAAAAACTAGCAACATTTCCATTTCTACTATATCATAAGCGACCTCGACGACATCATTACCATTTTTTAATAACAAAAACTTTATGTCTGTAATCCGCTTATGAGAAAACGCGGCTTTTGTGTGGGTTTTTAATGGACACGGCGTTAGCCCGTTACGAAATCTCCGTAATGCGGCTTAATGCTTGGAAATTTCGCCCGCAGCATGATAAATCATCGTTACAGAAACTGAGACTTTTTATGTATGCGATTGAAGATAGAAGTGATGGAAGTTCGGCGAGATTTCGTAATGGCATGTAATAACAGAGGACCGATGGTCGGTTTTTCTTACGTGGACGAAGACGTAATTATAGGATGCTGGCAGGAGGAAGAGACGTGGGGTTTAGGCGGTCGGGTTACGATTGTTTTGTGGTTTTGAGTGGTTTAGGAAAAACGTGAGGTTCCTAGTTGATCTAAATTTTCCGCTGCGACCAAATTCTTAATTACTTTGTTTCGACTTTCACTTGCTAATCTACTAATTTATTGTGATTTATTATAGGCTCCACTATGTTATTTGACCTTTTATTGACAACAATGACAAATTGATACATAAATGTTCGCTTTGGCTCGCAGTCGACATGCATTATTCAGTGATTAATTTTGTGCTAATTTGCGTACTGACACAGTTTGGTTAACAAGCATTTTATTTAAGACAAGGGCTTCTATTAAAAATTAAGTTTCTAGGTTATTTTAGTGACACATTTTTTACTATTTCTTCATTATTGTTACATTTTTGGTTTCTCCTAATTCAATTTATAATATCGTTTACTGTGTGTTATTTTAAAATACCAAGTACCATTGTAAATAACGGTCCCACAGCTTTTTTGAATTGAATTTTTCAGTTCTCCAAGCTTTAATTTTTCGTTTCAGTTTTTTATTTTATTTATTTTTTTCAATTTCACTTTTTTTCAAATTTTTGTTTCGTCAATTTTTCAATTTTTGTTTTTCCTTTCTACAATTCTGCGATCTCGTCGAGTTTTATCATTTTTAAATTTTCCAGTTTCAATTTCTAAATTTTGCATTTTTCGATTTGACATTTCACGAGTTTTAATTTTTTGATTTTTACATTTTTCAGTTTTTCATTTCTTCAGATTTTCGAGAAAAACGAGAAAGTACAGGTTATTATTTTACGTGGCTTAATTAGAAGTACAGTATTGAATAATATATTGACACTATGTTTTTTGTTATATCTCTTGTTCTTTGTGCAAAAAAATTGTTGAAAGAAAACTATGTACATAAAAAAAACAAGATTCATCACAATCGAGAAGGGGTGGGTGGGCGGGGTTTAGTATAAAAAAAAAATCTTGTGGTCCCAAGCCTCTTTTTTTTTAATTAGAATTTCGAGAGCCCCTTTCGTTTTAATTTTGTAAAAACTTTAAAAAATCTGGGCAGTCAGCTGTTTTTTTGATTTTGAAAAAATATAGAAAAATTGAAACATTTTGGGATTCCTGGAGGCTTTTTTTAAAAATTTAAAAGAATTTGTGGGTCTCGAGGGTTCTCTCTTTTTTTTTAAATTAGAATCTCTGGGGCCCCTCTTTCTGTTTTAATTTTGTAAAAATTTAAAAGAATCTGGGAAGTCCTAGCTGTTTTATGAAAAAATATGGAACAATTTTGGGATTCCTGGAGTCTTTTTTTTTAAGAATTGGAATCTCAAGGGCTCCAAAAAAATTTGAATGTATCTGGGAAGCCCCAGTTGTTTTATCATTTAGAAAAAATATGGCAAAATTTTGAGGATCCTGTTTTTTTTTATTTAAAAAAATATTATCTCAAACGACTTTGACATTAAAAAATTAGAAATTGAAAAATGAAAATTGGAGGGTCCCTGCTGATTTATTTTTAATAGGATGATGTCATTCAAGTTCTTGATTTTTTCATTTTCCCGATTTTTTAATATTCATTTTCTCGATTTTATATCACAATTTTTTTTCATTTCCTTCGTTTATTCAATTTTTTTAATTTTCTATATCTGATTTTTCAATTCCTCGGTTTTCCAATTTTTAAATTGATCAATTTTTGGGTTTTTCAGTTACTCGATTTTCTGATTTCTTTAATTATCAATATTTCCTTTTTTTGTACTTTTTCGTTCAAGTTCTTGATTTCCAATTTTTAGATTTTTTCAGTTTTGGAATTTTTTAATTTTCGCAATTTTTCAATTCTTCAACTTTCCGATTTTTCAACTTTTCGGTTACTTAAATTTTGGTTGTTTCGATTTCTCGGTTTTTCAACTTTTCAGCCTTTCGATTTTTAATTTCATTTCTCGATTTTTCGTTTTTTCAGTTCTTCGATATTTCTATTTTTCAAATTGCCGAATTTTTTATTTTTCAGTTTATTGATTTTTCAATTTTTCGATATTTCACGATTTTTTGATTTGATCGAAAAATTAAAAAATGAAAAATCGAACAATGAAAAAATTTTCAAATCCAATAACTGAAAAATTGAAAAATTACGAAATCGTAAAATTGAAAAACAGATATAATTTTAAAAATTATAATTATTATTACAAATTTAAAATGAAAACTAGAAAAATTGCAAATCAAAAATTGAAGAAACGTAAAATTTAAAAATCTAGAAACTGAAAAATCTAAAATTGAAAAAACGAAAAATTGAAGAAACCAAAAATTGAAAATTTTCATAATGAAAAAAAAAGAAAAATTATAAAAGAACATTGAAATCGCATCACAATCGAGAAGGGGTGGGCGGGCGGGGTTTATATTTTGTCCATTTTATCTTAATATATGAAGTCTTCTTTTCCCAATAAGAAACTGACAGTATGTTTAAATATCCTGTTGTTGAAAGAAAACCCTATATATTAAAAAATAATAATAATAAAAATTAAGCTCCACCCACCCGCCCCGATCTCATTCGTGATGAATTTGTCATTCGTTGTTAGACCGAGGGGCGGAGTTTAATCGTAACATCAATATTTCTCTAAAAAATTCTAACCTTTTAAAAACATATTTCATATAGTAATTTCTTGTAGAGAAATGAGGATTTTGTAACTAAACTCCGCCCTTCAGCTCACGATGAATAAAATATTCATTGCAATCGAGAAGGGGTGGGTGGGCGGGGCTTATATTTTGTCCATTTTTTCTTAATATGTGAAGAATCGAAAAATTAAAATTCGAAATTTTGAAAAATCGAAGAATCGGGAAATTGAAGTGGAAAAATTGAGGAGTCGAAGAATAGGGAATCGAAATTTCGAAAAAATCTAGAAATCAAAAAGTCGAAAAACTGAAAAATCGAAAAGTAGGAAAAACGAGAAATCGAAGTTGAAAAATCGAGAAGTCGAAAAGTGGAAAAATCGAAAAAATTTAGAATCGAAAAATTGAAAAATCGGGAAATCGAAGCTGAAAAATTGAGAAGTCCAAAAAAATAAATCAGGATGTCAAAAAATTGAGATTCGAAAAATTAAAAAATCCAAACACCGAAAAATTGAAGAATCGAAAGTCCAAGCATGGAAAAATCGGGAAATTGGAAATCGAAAAGTCGAAAAACCGAGATATTAAAAACACTAAGAACTGAAAATTCAAAAATTGAGAAATCGAACAATCGAAAATAGAGAAACTGAAACATTGCGAACTTGAAACATCAAAAAGTTTAGACCTCGTGATATCAAAAAATTGAAAAATCGAGCAATCGAAAAGTCAAAAATTCGAAAAGTCGAATATATAAAAACCCACAAAATTGAAAAATGGAAATCGAGAAATTGAAAAATCGGAAGACGAAAAATCGAAAAAATGTAAAATCGAAAAATTAAAATTCGAAATTTTGAAAAATCGAAGAATCGGGGAATTGAAGTTGAAAAATTGAGGAGTCGAAAAATAAGGAATCAAAATTTCGAAAAATTGAGAAATCGAAAAGTAAAAAAATCTAGAAATCAAAAAATCGGAAAACTGAAAAATCGAAAAGTAGGAAAAACGAGACATCGAAGTCGAAAAACTGAGAAGTCGAAAAATAAGAAATAAAAATTTCGAAAAATTGGGAATTAGAAAAACTGAGTAATCGAAAAGTCGAAAAATCTAGAAATCAAGAAGTCGAAAAATTGAACAACCGAAAATTCGGAAAATCGGGAAATCGAAACTGAAAAATTGAGTAGTCCAAAAAAATAAGAAATCAGGATGTCAAAAAATTGAGATTCGAAAAATTAAACAATCCAAACACCGAGAAATTGAAGAATCGAAAGTCCAAGAATGAAAAAATCGGGAAATTGGAAATCGAAAAGTCGAAAATTCGAAAAACCGAGATACTAAAAACATTAAGAAACTGCAAATTCAAAAATTGAGAAATCGAACAATCGAAAAATTGAGAAACCGAAAAATTGAAAAGTCGAAAAATCGAAAATAGAGAAACCGAAACATTGCGAACTTGAAAAATCAAAAAGTTTAGACCTCGTGATATCAAAAAATTGAAAAATCGAGCAATCGAAAAATTAAAAATTGAAAAGTCGAAACATCGAAAGATTGAAAATTTCCGAAAATTGGGAAATCGAAAAGTCGAAAAATTGGGAAATCGAGAATGGAATAATTCAATAACCGAGAAATTGAAAAATCGAAATGCTAAAAAATGAAAAGTTGAAAAACCGAGATATTAAAAACACTAAGAACTGAAAATTCAAAAATTGAGAAATCGAACAATCGAAAATAGAGAAACTGAAACATTGCGAACTTGAAAAATCAAAAAGTTTAGACCTCGTGATATCAAAAAATTGAAAAATCGAGCAATCGAAAAGTCAAAAATTCGAAAAGTCGAATATATAAAAACCCACAAAATTGAAAAATTGAAATCGAGAAATTGAAAAATCGGAAGACGAAAAATCGAAAAAATGTAAAATCGAAAATTAAAATTCGAAATTTTGAAAAATCGAAGAATCGGGGAATTGAAGTTGAAAAATTGAGGAGTCGAAAAATAAGGAATCAAAATTTCGAAAAACTGAGAAATCGAAAAGT